GGAATCAAATATATGTTTTAATCAATATATACTTGACAAGAGAGAATAGAATTTCCTGTATATAAAGGAAAAAACACTGAAAATTCCATAGGATTGGTGCGCATGACGAAGCTGCAGTGCTGATACAAAAGATACATTTTCTCTAACTGACTCACTTTAATCTGCTAAATTCTCCATTTTTCTGCGAGTCTGTCATTAACGATATTTCTACAGCCAGGTTTAGAGACCAATTCTACAAAATTGTCGACTATAGCAGCGTCTGCTCACTCTTTCTATCCATTTTATATGTTACGATTTAAATCATTGGATAAAATGTCGTGTGTAAATACCGCTATACTAATAATTTCAAATCAGCGAATATTTTACAGTATGTCGGTTTTCTGCAATCGACACAACTACTAACATCACGTGGGAGGCGCGTGTTCCTATGATGAATCAGAATAACCATGGAACTATATGGGTTTATAGTTCCATGGAATAACTGACCTAATACACCATTAATATCAATCGCGCCCTCTATGTTTAGAGTGCTCCTGTGACGTCAAAATGACGTATATGGTGAAGGCAATGTCAATCGTACAAACTGTGTTTGAGTCTGTAGTCGTTCATGTATATAATACAGTAAAATATTTAAAAAAAAACTTAAAGGGCGGTGGTCGTCGCGCCGCGTCTTGTTCGATATGGGACTCATAGCGACGTATACAACGCGTGTAAAATACAAGTACATTGTTTGTTTACATGAATTTCGAACACGCGCTGTGCGACAACCACCGACCTTGGATCTTTATTGATGGACAACTACAGGTTAAAACGACATGGTCGTTTTCAACAGCCTCCGTGTCACAGAAGCAATTCGTCACTAGAGGGCACATTTTATTGGAAAGGTGTATTCTGGGTCATGAATGACTGTTCTTTCTCTTTGCTTGTTTACAGATATGTCGATAGATGTGGTTACCAATGTCGGCCATTGGTTGCGTTTGTTATGTATTAGTTGCTATAATTATTATCACGAAACTCAATTTGGTATTACGTCAGTAAATTTATTATGTTTGTTTAGCTATGCACATGGGTTTAATACATTTATAGATTTATTAAGTGAAACAACCTCCACCTCAGTTGATTTATCTGTCACACCACAGTCCCTCAATGAACGGTTGGGAAACGCTGTGCGACTACCGTAATTGTCATGATAATCTGGTTTGATAGGCTCGTCTCTTTGGCTGCTGAAGAAATGGTGACGTCATGTCGACTGAGGGACTGTGGTCATACGCATAAAATTGATGAAACGCGTATGATTGTTTTTGGGTAAATATTGTGCACGCATTTTATGAATAAATTATCCTAAATTATATCCCAGTAATTATATTTATGAATAAATTTCATTAATATTAATGTTTATAGTATATTGAGATAATTTATTTTAACATGACACCTGCTTCAGAATAAAAGATAGTGCAACCACATTTCCTGTTTTACCTTGTCTTAATTTATATAGTTATGTTGCCATTATGACATGTCATGTAGCGTTTACAGGCATATTCCCATGATTTTCTTATCCAGGGAAGCTATTATCAGAGACTGAGTAGTGGTAAAACGGAACTTATTCAAACGCAGCTATTTCAACAAACCAACTATCAACAAAGACAACTGTATATTTAACAGAACCTAACATCGGAAAACTATTGGAAGAGTATGGCTATCTAAATTAAAACTACAGGAATATGCATAACCCGGTAAAGCAATGTAATTAACAATACCTTTTTTGGGAAGCTGTTGCAGGAGATTGGCTAGCAGTAATACTAATGAGACTCAGACCGGAGAAGCCTTGGGGAGTAACTAATCCAACTAGTCTGGATAAACTATTGAAATGGACTGGCAAGCGGTAAAACAAACAGGGAAGGTATATGTATTATCAGGAAGCTATATTGCCGGGGACCAGGTAGCATAACATTAGTGGGATTTAACCTGGAATAGCAACGGACTGGCTAGTGGTGAAAAACAAAAAAATATTGTAATGTTCGTTTTTTTTTTGGCCTACATAGAATTAAATCTTTCACAGGTAACTGAGATTGCTCACTGGTCTGCATAATAATCACACAGATAGTGATGTATGTCAATCGCTGTCAGTTGCCATAGTTAGCTTTTTTTCAATATGGCAAAATACTGAAGCATATTTATACCACAAATTAAGCTCGCATGATCAATTACACGAGGAACTCAACTTCCAATAATGTCCTCTGTCACTGTTAGTGCGTATTCACTACACGCTATTTCAATGTCATTTTGAAGCACTGATTTGTAGTACAACGAAAAGCGTTGTGTGCTTATATGTTCGTAACGTGCCTGCAATTGATATTATTTAATTGCTAAAAATTTTGAGATGATTGCCAATGTTGGCATTGGTTACTCACTTAGAAATTCTAACACCTAAGTAACACCTACAGGCTACGGATGATTAAGGCATGCCAATATACTAATATGCAATATTAATGAAACGGCATGACAAGTGTATCTACTAACTAATAGTATCGTAAATGCCCGCAAAAATCACTTCAGCTTACATGATGAAGAACAATTATACGATAACTCCAGTGGTATAGATAATATATGAATATATATCGTGCTTCTATTCCAAAGACTGACTAAGGTGACAAGATTCTGATCCGGGAGGTTATTTGATAAATTGACTTCCAGATATATTTTAGCAGTAAAACTATAGAAAAAAAATAACCTACTTTCAGAGACTAGGTATCATGAAACTAAGGTTGAAAATAAAACAATGTAAGCAACTGTACAAATTTGCGGTAACTGTGATGAATTTGTTTTGCGTATCTGTTGATCGACTTATTTAGCTGATTACTAGTGAATTGCTGTGTTATGTCTGTCATCCTTTAGGCTCATGCGAGGTCCTGGATTTGGAACTAATTACGATATAACAGTCGCTATTCGGACTACTATTTCTGACAGTTGGTATTCGCAGTTACTAATATAGTAAACGATTAATCAAAAGATATGACGTGTTCGGTACTTTCGTGTGATTGGCTGTTTGTTTGGAGGCAACGCCTCAAAGTCTCTTATACTCTATTGTAATTGGCTAATGGTTGACAAGTTAATAAAGTGATTTGAAGCTGTCTAGGGAGGAGAGCACGAGTCAGTCGGAGAGTCGAAGGAGTCACGAACTGAGCTTCTGTGTGTTTTTTGTGAGTCCAACGTAGAGAACAATCGAATCCCGGTTACCTAAGTGAAAAGTTTCGAAACATCAAAAATACCTATCACATAACAATAACATAACCTAGCTCAGTGAAGCTATGTCAGAAGCCAGCCTTCCTCGGGGTTTACTCGTATATGTACTTACTTATTTATTATAACGTTCAAGTTTCTATCAAGTCATTATGAATATACCATACTTATAATATACGAGGTATGTGACATAGATATATTAATTTAATAACATGTATATATAATTGCTGTCGAACGTACTGTGGTCGAATTTTAGTGATGTGGGACTTTTCGGTTGAAAAACAGCAATTTTTAGTAATAGTTTTTTTGGCTCGTCACTATTGTTCTAACAGTCCTCTAATTTCAAGCATTTACTAGGAAAGTACTATTTCGTTGTTCCAAACTAAGTTGTGATTGAATAAAAACAAACATGTAGTTTACTATGATATGTACATGAATCAGGTGATTTCTACATGTCATTGGCCATTATTCTTCATACAAACGAAGTTGCGTAACACGCGTATACTGTGACTACAGAAGGTCCGCGATGGGGCTGCAGGGGAAAAACTTCCAAAATTTGCTAAATTCGCAGTATTACTTCGTTAAATTCTATTTATAGTATTATATAAATTGACAGCCAAAAATTATCTAGTGATAAACTACAGAAAAACTATATCGAAGCAAGCTATTGTCAATGTGTTCGGAGACTAACTAGCAGTACAACAAATAGAACCTAAACGCGAAAGGTACTTCTAAAGACAGGCCAGCAGAAAACTAATAGAAATTATCTAGCGGAGTTATCACCGGGAACTAAAACGCAAACGTTGTATTGAGATAGCTCCACGCTCACGAGCGAAGTACTTTGTTTGACTATACTTCTTGAAAAGGTTATATATCAAAACTATATGATCCAAACTATGTACATTTTTGTATTCTAGATGAGCAAACAAAAACATAAATAGCAGACAGCGTGAATTTGTATATTATATCCTTGCCAAATTGCGAGTTTCGAATAAGCACATGTATTGTGTATAATATAATCATGTTCCATTCTTCAGAATGCGGCTGTACGGTAAAATTTGAGTCGACAACAGGATAATTTGAAGCCCTCTTCTACGATTACTTAATTTGAACATGTAAATTGAGGTCTGCTTCAAGTTAGATTCTAAGGTATCAAGTCACGTGACCAGTGATAATTTTACTGCCACGGATTCCGGACTGATTCAGGACTCTACGTCTGTATATGAAATTTAGCTGTAAATTAAAATATAATTATAATTTAAAAATCATAAATGTAAAATATAAAGAATTGAATTATACAAAATATATAGAGAATCTGAAAACTGTGCATGAATAATTTATTTTGACGATTGAAATGATTAATTTCGGTTTTGATACGACTTTCTATCAGACTATTTTTATATGTTGTTTTGTTCATCTGTTTCAATTAGTGTCGACTTCCATTGGTATGAATGTCACGTACTTGTATGCAATGCAACAGCTGTGTCTATGTTTTATTCAGTCCACAACTATGGCGGTATTTCTGATACTGGTATCACGAGTTGAAATCGAACACTGATCGTGCACACAATTAAAATGATAAGTGTTTCTGATAATAATAAATTACGCATCATCGTAAAATATCCAGTCGTATTATCGCAATATATGCCTGCATTGGAACGCGTATGCCCCCCCCAACGTTCATTTTCAGGTGAGTTAAGTAGCCTTTAATATTATGGGATGCACTGTGCATACGTAACTGTCGCCACTCTTCGTCGAGTAGTGAACGTATGTTTATGGGAGCAGTTTGCATATGTGGCGTTTACACTGTTTTTTTGGTGTCGAGTCTAAACCCGTATGATTAATACATAGAATTCGGTGCTATTGGTAAGTACATGGAGTTCTGAATGTCGAGAATCGAAAACAAACAACACTGATGCTGTCAACACTGCGGCATCCTCATATTGTTGTGTTTACGCCAGCACTGCTCTGTCAGGCAGAAAAAAATCATATTGTTATTAATAGTTTGTGCCTGTACATGTCACATAGAAATGAAATGGCAAACGCTTGACCTCATTAACGTTTTTTGCCAATACTATCAAATAGCGTTATTTTCTCTACAAAATAGTTTTATTTTCCGAATTTCCAAAAGTGAAAATACCAGCTACGTTACCTGCGCATAGTGTGGGAATAATTTATAATACATATAGATATAAATAGCAAATAATATATGTATATAAATTGTATGTTTATATTTAAATTTCGTGTGCAACCCCCATTACCCGTAAATTACGGAATTCCGGGTCACGGTAACACACGTCACAATTTAATTAACATTGTAATTGAAGGTGATTAATCGCTTTCATTAGCAGGTGTCACATATGGCGGTTGCGTTATTGAAATTGCATTCTTCAGTTCTAGTCTCATTGTTGCATTTTAAATCTCTGCTATAAGCGTTTGCATGGGTGTGCAATCATGTATTTCATATAACGTGTAACACGCGCCGTTTCTATTTAATTTTACAAACTACAAACATCTAGACATCTCCCTGGGGGAGTACATTGGTGTTTAATTTAAGCGATGTTGGCATTTAATTTCAAAAAAAACGCGATAAATATTTGATAATTAAAAAAAATTGAAAAGGGAACAAAGCAGAAACAGATATATTAATTGAGAGAAAACTCGTGTGCTTTTATATATAGAAGAAATGTTTGCTGATGAATAATGACATTTCTATTTCAGAGTTATTGGGTATTGCGCAAGTAAAAACAGCTCCGGGAGAAATATGTGAACTATGGTTTATCTATGAATACAAAATATAACGTTTAGTATACCGCTTGAAAAAATGAATCTGCTGCAGACTAACGAACAGGACATTTTTGTTTACGAATCCCTGGAAGACGATCCTCAAAAAAACTCAAAATCCACAAGAAAAGATCCGGACAGAGACTGTTCCTGTGTGAACATAGAGAAAGCGTGTAAATCGGAACGGTGCATAAGGCGTACAGACTGCGTGGGATCCATCGCTTTTGTCTGTGTTGTGCTCGGTGTTATTATTTTGTTGGTTGGGTACTTAGTACCCAGGCATCCCAAAGGTGACCCGGAAACCGACGAGTACAAACAATTGGAAAACTACTACACAAAGCTTGGACACGGTGCAGACGTCAGCATTTTGGTTGCTCTTGGATTTATAAGTGTTGGCGGGATTATAATGGCCGGTCTGTTTATGTGGTCCGCCATTGAAGGGTGTCGCCAAAAGGACGCGGACGACGGGGGTGTGCCGCTAATAAACAAACTTCCTGTCGAAGCAAAATTGCTTCCGACGGAGGATGCCGAGATGGATTACGGCACCTCGTCGTAATAAGATTTCGAGTTACAACTTAAAACACTGAATGATTTTGGAAGATGGATGTATAGTCTAATACGGCGCTTTCCAAGCCATAGTTGAAACAATATAACAGTAGTTTTTTTTTCAGAATTACGGACGATGCCGAGATGGATTACGGCACCTCGTCGTAGTAAGATTTCGAGTTACAATTTAAAACAGTGAATTATTTTGAAAGATACGCCGCTTCCCAAGTTATAGTTATAAAATTATAATATTTTTTTCTTAGAATTCCCATGGATTTTGATATATACGCACTCAATAGGGCGTAGCTCATGCCATAGTAATCAGCATTATCATAACAGTACTATTTCTTAGATACCCAGACCTAGATACACACGTATCACAGTTTCTTTAAAAGCATGATATATTGGTACGAGTCATTTTGTAGAATAACTACAATATTGAACAGAAAATGTAATTTGAGTTCTGTGTCGTTTAATAGCTAGAGCGGAGATTCTCGGAAACACAGTGTTTTCATCAAAATGATAACTTACTTTACATTATTCACCGCCGAGGTTTGTCTATGGTATCTAAACGTTATTGTATTGAAATATTGAGAACGTGTTTACATTTATGGCTAATTGTACGTACATGTATTACATTACACATATCGTATAAGTCGCGCCCCCTAGCGGCAAAGCGCTCCCGTGTCGTCAAAATGACACAGATTGTGTAGTCCGTTATTTAGAACGTATGAGCAACTATCATGGTTATCTCATAGAAACGTTTTGTTACTAAGGGGTATAACTTGTACAATATATTGTACATACATTTATAAAGATAAAATGCTCCATCATTTGCATTGCCCAATGATACACTACCATAAACAATTTTGCCAATTAATATTCATAAATGCAACTGTCAGGCACATTCATACATATATTTATTTGTACGGATAACAACGCGAAATTAATAAAGTATTAAGTTAATCGCATCTATTATTATTATTATTATTATTATTATTATTATTATTATTTCAATAAATAAATTGATGATTAGCATTGAAGAAACGACCACAACGATTTCCATTGAAGAATATTTTTTGGAATAATTAGGAGCACTTTGGATCATGATGGTAAACAAAGCGTCATGGTACGGTCGTCATGACGACCGATTTATCCTTTCAAATGTTCCAACCAGCAACATTGTCGTTGCACAGCTGTGACCTCTATTGAGTGCCCAACTATATGGTATACGACAATTATCACCGGTATGCTACTATCTTTCAATGAAATAATTTGGAATAAAATTTTACTTCTGAAAATCTGGCGAATAAACAACCGGCACAAAACACCATCGATAATAAATAATGAATGAAAGTGACAAAATATACGACTTTTCGCAAAATCTCGGACTTAACCGCCCCAGGGAGGATAATTGTGTGATCCACTCTGATGTTGCCAGACCAATTCGAATGTTATCCGATGGGATCCGATGCTGTCCGACCTTGTGCGGTTCAACAAGTGTTCACCAACACAATGTATTCAACACGACCCACTGTTGTCCGATTCTCAGTATCGTCCGACTCAATCCACCGA